TTCGTCGCCCTTTGCTGTCCCCCTCCGTTCCTCCCCCTTTGCTGTCCCCCTCCGTTCCTTGCCCTTTGCTGTCCCCCCTCCGTTCCTCCCCTTATGCTGTCCCCCCTCCGTTTCTCCCCCTTTGCTGTCCCCCATCCGTTTCTCCCCCTTTGTTGTCCCGCCTCTGTTCCTCCCCCTTTGCTGTCCCCCCACCGTTCCTCCCCTTTGCTGTCCCCCCTCCGTTCCTCCCCCTTTGCTGTCCCCCCTCCGTTCCTCGCCCTTTGCTGTCCCCCCTCGGTTCCTCCCCCTTTGCTGTCCCGCCACCGTTCCTCCCCCTTTGCTGTCCCCCCTCCGTTCCTCCCCCTTTGCTGTCCCCCCGTTCCTCCCCTTTGCTGTCCCCCATCCGTTCCTCCCCCTTTGCTGTCCCCCTCCGTTCCTCCCCGTCCTCCCCCTTTGCTGTCCCCCTCCCTCCGTTTCTCCCCCTTTGCTGTCTTCCTCCGTTCCTCCCCTTTGCTGTCCCCCCACCGTTCCTCCCCCTTTGCTGTCCCCCCTCCGTTCCTCCCCCTTTGCTGTCCCCCACCGTTCCTCCCCCTTTGCTGTCCTCCCTCCGTTCCTCCCCCTTTGCTGTCCCCCCACCGTTCCTCCCCCTTTGCTGTCCCCCCTCCGTTCCTCCCCTTTGCTGTCCCCCTCCGTTCCTCCCCCTTTGCTGTCCCCCTCCGTTTCTCCCCCTTTGCTGTCCCCCATCCGTTTCTCCCCCTTTGCTGTCCTCCCTCCGTTTCTCCCCCTTTGCTGTCCCCCCTCCGTTCCTCCCCCTTATGCTGTCCCCCATCCGTTTCACCCCCTTTGTTGTCCCCCTCTGTTCCTCCCCCTTTGCTGTCCCCCACCGTTCCTCCCCCTTCGCTGTCCCCCCTCCGTTCCTCCCCCTTTGCTGTCCCCCTCCGTTCCTCGCCCTTTGCTGTCCCCCCTCGGTTCCTCCCCCTTTGCTGTCCCGCCACCGTTCCTCCCCCTTTGCTGTCCCCCCTCCGTTCCTCCCCCTTTGCTGTCCCCCCTCCGTTCCTCCCCCTTTGCTGTCCCCCATCCGTTCCTCCCCCTTTGCTGTCCCCCCCTCCGTTCCTCCCCCTTTGCTGTCCCCCATCCGTTTCTCCCCCTTTGCTGTCTTCCTCCGTTCCTCCCCCTTTGCTGTCCCCCCACCGTTCCTCCCCCTTTGCTGTCCCCCCTCCGTTCCTCCCCCTTTGCTGTCCCCCCACCGTTCCTCCCCCTTTGCTGTCCTCCCTCCGTTCCTCCCCCTTTGCTGTCCCCCCTCCGTTCCTCCCCCTTTGCTGTCCCGCCTCCGTTCCTCCCCCTTTGCTGTCCCCCCTCCGTTCCTCCCCCTTTGCTGTCCCCCCCCGTTCCCCCCTTTGCGTCCCCCCCCCGTTCCTCCCCTTTGCTGTCCCCCCTCCGTTCTCCCCCTTTGCTGTCCCTCCCCTTTGCTGTCCCCCCCCCCCCCCCTTTGCTGTCCCCTCCGTTCTCCCCCTTTGCTGTCCCCCCCCTCCCCCGTTCCTCCCCCCCTTTGCTGTCCCCGCCTCCGTTCCTCCCCCTTTGCTGCCCCCTCCGTTCCTCCCCCTTTGCTGTCCCCCCTCCGTTCCTCCCCCTTTGCTGTCCCCCCATCCGTTCCTCCCCCTTTGCTGTCCCCCTCCGTTTCCTCCCCCTTTGCTGTCCCCCCTCCGTTCCTCCCCCTTTGCTGTCCCCCCTCCGTTCCTCCCCCTTTGCTGTCCCCACCTCCGTTCCTCCCCCTTTGCTGCTGTCCCCCCTCCGTTCCTCCCCCTTCTGCCCCCTCGTCCCCCCTTTGCTGCCCCCTCCGTTCCTCCCCCTTTGCTGTCCCCCTCCGTTCCTCCCCTTTGCTGTCCCCCCTCCGTTCCTCCCCCTTTGCTGTCCCCCCTCCGTTCCTCCCCCTTTGCTGTCCCCCTCCGTTTCTCCCCCTTTGCTGTCCCCCTCCGTTCCTCCCCCTTTGCTGTCCCCCCTCCGTTCCTCCGCCCTTTGCTGTTCCCCCCTTCGTTCCTCCCCCTTTGCTGTCCCCCCTCCGTTCCTCCCCTTTGCTGTCCCCCCTCCGTTCCTCCCCTTTGCTGTCCCCCTTCCGTTCCTCCCCCTTTGCTGTCCCCCCTCCGTTTCCTCCCCCTTTGCTGTCCCCCGCCTCCCGTTCCGTCCCCCTTTGCTGTCCCCCCTTCGTTCCTCCCCCTTTGCTGTCCCCCCTCCGTTCCTCCCCTTTGCTGTTCCCCCTCGTTCCTCCCCCTTTGCTGTCCCCCTCCGTTCCCTCGTCCCTTTGCTGTTCCCCCTTCGTTCCTCCCCCTTTGCTGTCCCCCCTCCGTTCCTCCCCCTTTGCTGTCCCCCCTCCGTTTCTCCCCCTTTGCTGTCCCCCCTCCGTTCCTCCCCCTTTGCTGTCCCCCCTCCGTTCCTCGCCCTTTGCTGTCCCCCCCCCCCTCGTTCCTCCCCCTTTGCTGTCCCCCTCCGTTCTCCTCCTTTGCTGTCCCCCATCCGTTTCTCCCCCTTTCCTGTCCCCCCTCCCGTTCCTCCCTCCTTTCCCTGTCCCCCTCCGTTCCTCCCCCTTTGCTGTCCCCCTCAGTTCTCCCCCTTTGCTGTCCCGCTCCGTTTCTCCCCCCCTTTGCTGTCCCCCATCCGTTTCTCCCCCCTTTGTTTGTTCCGCCTCTGTTTCCTCCCCTTTGCTGTCCCCCACCGTTCCTCCCCGCCCTTTGCTGTCCCCCCTCCGTTCCCTCCCCCTTTGCTGTCCCCCCCCGTTCCTCCCCTTTGCTGTCCCCCATCCGTTCTCCCCCTTTGCCTGTCCCCCCACCGGTTCCTCCCCCGCCCCTTTGCTGTCCCCCTCCGTTCCTCCCCCTTTGCTGTCCCCCCTCCGTTCCTCCCCCTTTGCTGTCCCCCCTCCGTTCCTCCCCCATTGCTGTCCCCCCTCCGTTCCTCCCCCTTTGCTGTCCCCCTCCTCCGTTCCCTCGCCCTTTTGCTGTCCCCCTCCGTTCTTCCCCCTTTGCTGTCCCCCCCTCCGTTCCTCCTCCTTTGCTGTCCCCCCTCCGTTTCTTCCCCCTTTCCTGTCCCCCCTCCGTTCCTCCTCCTTCCTGTCCCCTCTCCGTTCCCTCCCCCTTTGCTGTCCCCCTCCGTTCCTCCCCCTTTGCTGTCCTCCCTACGTTCTTCCCCCTTTGCTGTCCCCGCTCCGTTCCTCCCCCTTTGCTGTCCCCCCTCCGTTCCTCCCCCTTTGCTGTCCCCCCTCCGTTCCTCCCCTTTGCTGTCCCCCTTCGGTTGCTCCCCTTTGCTTGTCCCCATCCGTTCTCCCCCTTTGCTGTCCCCCCTCCGTTCCTCCCCCTTTGCTGTCCTCCCACCGTTCCTCCCCCTTTGCTGTCCCGCCTCCGTTCCTCCCTTTGCTGTCCCCCCCCGTTCCTCCCCTTTGCTGTCCCCCCTCCGTTCCTCCCCTTTGCTGTCCCCCCTCCGATTCCTCCCCTTTGCTGTCCCCCTCCGTTCCTCCCCCTTTGCTGTCCCCCCCCGTTCTCGCTTGCTCCTCCCCCTTTGCTGTCCCCCCTTCTCCGTTCCTCCCCCTTCCCCCCTCCCCCCCTTTGCTGTCCCCCACCGTTTCTCCCCTTTGCTGTCCCCTTCGTTCCTGCCTTTGCGTCCCCCTCTGTTCCTCCCCTTTGCTGTCCCCCTCCGTTTCTCCCCCTTTGCTGTCCCCCCTCCGTTCCTCGCCCTTTGCTGTCCCCCCTCCGTTCCTCCCCTTTTGCTGTCCCCCCTCCGTTTCTCCCCCTTTGCTGTCCCCTCCCGTTTCTCCCCCTTTGTTTGTCCCCTCTCCGTTCCTGCCCTTTGCTGTCCCCCCTCCGTTTCTCCCCCTTGCTGTCCCCCCATCCGTTTCTCCCCCTTCCTGTCCCCCATCCGTTTCTCCCCCTTTGTTGTCCCCCTTTGTTCCTCCCCCTTTGCTGTCCCCCATCCGTTTCTCCCCTTTGCTGTCCCCCTCCGTTCCTCGCCCTTTGCTGTCCCCCCTCCGTTTCTCCCCCTTTGCTGTCCCCCCTCCATTACTCCCCCTTTGCTGTCCCCCCTCCGTTCCTCCCCCTTTGCTGTCCCCCTCCGTTCCTCCCCCTTTGCTGTCCCCCCCTCCGTTCCTCCCCCTTTGCTGTCCCCCTCCATTCCTCGCCCTTTGCTGTCCCCCTCGATTCCTCCCCCTTTGCTGTCCCCCATCCGTTTCTCCCCCCTTTGCTGTCCCCCCTCGATTCCTCCCCCTTTGCTGTCCCCCATCCGTTTCTCTCCCCCTTTGCTGTCCCGCATCCGTTTCTCCCCCTTTCCTGTCCCCCATCCCGTTTCTCCCCCTTTGTTGTCCCCCTCCGTTCCCTCCCCCTTTGCTTGTCCCCCCACCGTCCCTCCCCCTGTGCTGTCCCCACTCCGTTCCTCCCCCATTGCTGTCCCCCCTCCGTTCCTTCCCCTTTGCGTCCCCCTCCGTTCCTCCCCTTTGCTGTCCCCTCCCCTCCCCCTTTGCTGTCCCCCCTCCGTTTCTCACCTTTGCTGTTCCCCATCCGAAATAATCTTCTACGGTTGCAGATTTTTGTATAAATTTGTGTTTCCTGTCTAAGTGCACGCTATTTGCTCTTCCTGTTATGCCTATGTTTGTTGGATTTTGCAGATAGTCCATATTTCGAAGATTCGTTTTGGGTCACGTTTCGTGTGAGCGCTCGTGTACGTAATTGTTAATCCATAATAAAATTAATGGTAGTTTTTAGAATCAATTGTGATTTGGGTATACCTAAAGGAAGGTGTTCACGAGGCGAAATGTGCTTGTTGGTGAAATTGTCTTTATTGTATTTATGAACCATGGCATATTGTTCGTCATGAAAATGGCAGCAGGGTATTGTGGTTATGTGTAACCTTTGGTTTGGTACTTTGCCTAATTTAGGTGCACAAAAAAGTTGTCATAAGATGTGTCACCTCCTTTCACAAATCTCGCATTCAAGCATTTCATATTTCCAAGGAATAATTTGTGCTCGTCACCACAGCATCACTGTGGTTGCCTTGCAATGTCTCCGCATATCTTGTTCTCCGTCTCCCTCTCCTATTTTCTCCTCTCAATATCACTCCCTTTCTTTCGTCTCTCTCTCTCTCTCTCTCTCTCTCTCTCTCTCTCTCTCTCTCTCTCTCTCTCTCTCTCTCTCTCTCTCTCTCTCTCTCTCTCTCTCTCTCTCTCTCTCTCGCTCTCTCTCTCTCTCTCTCTCTCTCTTCTCTCTCTCTCTCTCTCTCTCTCTCTCCTCTCTCTCTCTCTCTCTCTCTCCTCTCTCTCTCTCTCTCTCTTCTCTCTCTCTCTTTCACTCTCACACTCAACCCTTTGATCACTTTTCCCCCGCAGTCCTTATTCTCTTCCGAATCTACAAAACGCCACTGCCCAACACGGCTTGTGCCTTGCAACTTCTACGTACGTATTATTTCCTTCCTTCCAGCTTTCACCCCTTTCGTTCCTCTTCTCAACTTCTCTTTCAAAATGTCCCTCTCTCTTTTCGCTCTCTCGTTTCTCCATTTTTTCTCTCTCTCAATACAAATACCTCTTCTTCAATCTCACGTTACTCCCTATCTCTCTCTATATCTCTCTCAATGTCTCTATCTCTCTCTCTCTCTCCTCTCTCTCTCTCTC